GCGAACGGCGGGGGACGACTTCTCCACGGCGGCGAGCAGTCGGGGGAATGAATATTTTCGGGCTGCCTGAGCCCGTACCCAAAAAAAACCGTGGTCGGGCGGCGAGAGGCCCTTGCCTGAAATTTTTCAGGCACTGGGCATGCCCACCGCCCGAAGTTGCAACACTGCCTATAATTATAAACCATGTCAGTCACAAAATTACAGGAGAAAACTGGACGTATCGGAAAGTAAGGAGCAAGTTCTAAGAGTCGTGGAGGGGGGAAAAGGAGGTGGATTTTTCTTGAGCATGGTGAGGGCTTTTACTTATTTAGGTCCTGTTCATTTTAACAATTTGAGTTTAAAATTTAAATTTTATTACAGTAAAAAGTTCTTAAAAATAATCATGTTAAATTTTTTTATTATAATAAAATTTTTTTACATAAAATTATATTTTAATTCAAATTAAAAATTTAAATTAGTGAATTACACAACCCTAAACTTACAAGCATGGGTGATATACGTGTCATGTCCCATCCGAGTTCTTAGAGTCAGTCATAGACAGGAAATCTTTTTTCTCACTGCTCTAAATTTTTTATTTTTTATCACTTTTTATTTTTTTGCTTGGAAGACGGGCTTTCAATCTTAAGCATAGGTCTAAAAAGTTGAAGTGTGAAGGAATAGCTGCATGTCTTGTCCCATCATAGCTTATTTGTTTTCTGCCCGGTTTAGTTCTTGAAGAGAAATTTTGAACAAAAAAAATCAAAGTAAGAAGTCCATCCTAGCTTTATAACGAAGAATCAAATCTAATCTGAGTTCGTTTATTTTTCGTTAATTTAAATTTAGAATTTAAATTTTTTTACAGTAAAAAATTCTACAAAATAATCACATTTAATTTTTTTATTATATTAAAATTTTTTTACATAAAATTATATTTCAACTCGAATTAAAAACTTGAATTAACGAACTGAATGAGATTAATTTAAGTTTAAAATTTAAATTTTATTATAATAAAAAATTTTAAAAAACAGTCAGATTTAACTTTTTTATTATAGTAAAAAATTATCACATAAAGTCATATTTAAACTTGAATTAAAAACTCATCAGCGAACTAAACGGCCCTTAAACATAACTTTCTAAATTTCAATTTGGGAAACTGTAGATAGTAAAAAAAAAATTGATACTAAATTATGCCCGTTCACTTCGTTGATTTGAGTTTGTAATTCAAGTTGAGATGTAATTTTATGTGTGAGCTTTTTACTGTAACAAAAAAGTTAGATGTGACTGTTTCTGAGAGCTTTTTACTGTAATAAAACTTAAATTCTAAACTCAAATCGACAAAATAAACAGGACCTAAAAGTATGTTCATTTTTACAATTATACACGTAAGAAAAAATATTTTAATAAAAAAATTAAATTTAAATTTTTATAAAAAAATATTATAATAATATAATTTAAGTCATAAAATAAATAATATTTATAACTCATATGCTTTTTGAGCATCAATCCCGACACATACAAATTCAAGAATGTGTAAAATTGTTTACAGTCTGTAATGAACAAGTTGAAGTTGAAAGGTTTTTTTTTAAATATACATTAAGTTGAAAATTTTTTTCCTTTTTTTTTTGTTTGCAGAAAGAAAGTTGAAAGTTTTTTTTTCTATCCTCACGAAGTTGAAAGTAATTTTAGTAGAAAATGTTATTAAAAGAATAATAACAGTACGAGTGAAACATAAAATACAATTTAATGCAAATTTTTGTCAATCACTATTTATTGCTAATTGATCACAAAAATATATTTTCCTGATCCGTGAGTCAGAGCACAAAGAGGCACATCAACAGTAACAGTAGTACAATACTTATCACAAAAATAAAAAAAGGCAAAAACAGATCGAAAAAGGGAGAGTCATAATCAGCTGATACGGAAGAGAAAATATCAGAAAAAGGAAAACAGAAATCTTAAGGGCTGTTCCGCGCCTTTTTTTGAGTTAAAAATTTTAAAAAAATAAGTTGAGTTATAATTTTATTTAAATTTATAGTTTTTTAAATTTAAATTTATGTTTAAAAAAAAGATATTTAGTTTATGAATTAGAACTATATGATTAAAATTATTTTTAATTTATATGTATTTTTTATGAGAGAAAATACTGTAGTGAATTATGAATTATAATTCAAATCAGGGAACGAAACTCTCAACCAAACAACGAGTTTGAACTCGAGTTTAAGACTAAAACTCGAGTTCAAGTTTTCCTTTCAACTCGAGTTCAGAAACTCGAACTCAAATTAATGAATAATATTTTTTCTATTCTTAAAAATATTATAACCTTTTCGTTTTAATTCTGATTGAGATGATTTTTTTTCTATGCGTTGACAACGAAAAGACGAATAAAACACCACTCATATTCCCTATTAAAATTTTTCATCAGTATTGAGTTTTTATTAAAATACTACTATATAAATACAAATTCAAGTTTTGACTCACTCAAACACAAACTCAAAAAGATTCTTATCTCAAACCATAACTCAAATGTATACAACCAAACACAAACTCAAGTTACAATTTCAACTCAAGTTATAACTCAAACTCAACTCAAGATTTACACTCAAATCACCTAACTCAAAAACAATAAAAAAACAAGCCCTTACATTTTTAATTTTACTATAATTAAATTTTTTTTTATAAAAAGTCATATATAAGTCTTGTTTAGTTTGTATATTTAAATTTTTAATTTGAGTTTAATTGTATGCTTTTAAAAAGTCGTAATTTCAGTTTAAATTCATTTTTTTTTTGTAAAATGGATACGTTTGGTTCATGGATTAGAATCATGTGATTAGAATCATTTTTGATTTACGTGTATTTTTTGTGAGAGAAAATACTGTAGTGAACCATGAACCATGATTCAAATCATGGTTTGAATCCTCTAACTAAACGTTTATAGTTTGAACTCGAGTTTAAACTCGAGTTTGAGACAAAACTCGAGTTCAAATTTATTCTTCAATTCGAGTTTATAAATTCGAACTCAAGTTAATGCACAATATTTTTTCTATTTTTAAAAATGTCATAACTTTTTCGTTTTAATTCTGATTGAGATGATTTTTTTCTATGCAATCACAAAGAAAAGACGAATAAAACCCCACCCATATACCCTATTAAAATTTTTCATCACCATTGAATTTTTATTAAAATACTATTTAAATACAAATTTAAGTTTTCACCCATCTAAACACAAATTTAAAAAGACTCTCAATTCAAATCATAACTAGGGCCCGTTTAGTTCGCTGATTCGAGTTGAGATGTGACGTTATGTGAGAGCTTTTTACTCTAGCAAAAAAGTTAGATGTGACTGTTTCTGAGAGCTTTTTACTATAGTAAAACTCGAATTCTAAACTCGAATCGACGAAATGAATGGGGCCTTATGTGCACATCCAAATACAAACTTAGACCCCGTTCATTTCGCTAATTTGAGTTTAGAATTCGAGTTTTGCTACAGTAAAAAGCTCTCACAAACAATCACATCTAACTTTTTTGTTACAGTAAAAAGCTCTCACATAAAATCTTCTATGAAAGTCTCCGGATAAAAAGCGCTACTTTATTTACTATGAGAGCCATTTTTATTTGAGAGATTTTATATGGGTAGGTTGTGATTTTTTAATTATTAAATTTGTGTATTTTTTAATTTTTATGTAATTTTATACAGATTTAACGAATAAAAAATTTAATTGGGGAAGGCCTTTTTTTATTTTTTATTTTTTATATTTTTGCTGAATTACTTTGAGAGCCAATGAATGTATATCTTTCAACATTAGACAAAACTAAGGCCCCGTTCATTTCGCTAATTTGAGTTTAGAATTCGAGTTTTGCTACAGTAAAAAGCTCTCACAAACAATCACATCTAACTTTTTTGTTACAGTAAAAAGCTCTCACATAAAATCACATCTCAACTCGAATTAAAAACTCAAATCAGCGAACTAAACGAGTCCTCAAATTACAATTTCTACTCAAATTATAACTCAAATTCAATTTAAAATTATCACTTAAGTCACTTTAACTCAAAAATATAAAGGACCCGTTTAGTTCGCTGATTCGAGTTTTTAATTCGAGTTGAGATGTGACTTTATGTGAGAGCTTTTCACTATAGCAAAAATGTTAAATGTGATTGTTTGTGAGAGCTTTTTATTGTAAAAAAAACTCGAATCAGCGAAATGAACGAGACAAAAAACAACCTCTTTAAAAAACAAAAACAATAAAATAAAAAAATATTATTTTTGGTTTATTTTGCCGCCATATTAGGCCTTCTATCCGACGTCTTTTCACTCTCATTTCGCAAACATACAATTTAATAATAATTTTTGTCAATCACAATTTATTGCTAATTGATCACAAAAATATGTTTTCCTGATCCGTGAGTCAGAGCACAAAGAGGCGCATTAACAGTAACAGTAGTACAATACTTATCACAAAAATAAAAAAAGGCAAAAACAGATAGAAAAAAGGGAGTCATAATCAGCTGATACGAAAGAGAAAAGGTCAAAAAAGAAAAACAGAAATCCTACATTTTTAATTTTATTATAATTAAAAATTCTTATAAAAAATTATATATAAATTTTATTCAAGTCGCATTTTAAATTTAAATTTAAATATAATTTAATGTGAAAATATTTTATTTTTACATAAAATATTATATTTTAATTTAAATTAAAAATTTAAATCTATTAATTAATAATATTTATTTTTTATATTCATTCTTAATCATGATTCATAATTTTTTATAATATATTTTTTTAAATACGTCAACTAAACGCCTCTTCAAAAACCAAAAACAATAAAATAAAAAAATATTATCTTTGGGTTTATTTTGCCGCCATATTTTCAAAACTCTCACAGCAACGCCCCCGGTTTAATAGGCCGTCTATCCGACGTTTTTTCTCTCTCATTTCGCAAATCCCGCCCGTCGTTTCCACTTTCCACTTTCCCTTTCTGTTTCTCTCTCTGAAATTCAAAATTTCTTGCTTGATTGAGTTTTCATGGCGGCTAATTCTGAGCCACCGCCAAACGACGGCGAAGACAAGAAAGCTCCGGTGAGCGTCGGGAAAGTTCCGGAAAGTATCGAGAATATTCCGGAGAATCGCTTTTCCTTGGAGGACACAGAAGGTGAAGCGAATCAGAAAAGGAGGCGCGGTAGAAAGAAGGTTGAAAAGAAGGATAAGGAAGCTAGGGATTCGGCAATGGAGATCGTCGGGGGCGAAGGAGTAGTTGGGAAGAAAAAACGCGGTAGAAAGCCGAAAAATTCGAAACCTTTGGCTCAGAAAGGTCCGGGAAGTAAGAAGGCGAAGCTTGTTGTGGAAGGTGATAAGGAGAATGGAGAAGAGGTGAAGGAGTCTGAGGAATTTAGGGTTTCGGAGATGGAGGGAGTTGTGGAAGAGAATGTTGTTGGTGATGGAGTTGAGAAGAAGAAACGTGGAAGGAAGAAGAAGGTCGCGAAGGGATCGGAAGTTTTGGTGGAGGATGTTTCGGAAAAGGCGAAAGAAGTTGTAGAAAATGGTCGGGATAAGGAAAGTTCAGAACATTCGGCCAAGAATGAAGGGGAAAATGTGAATGTTGTTGTGGAGGATGTTCTGGAGAATGGAGAAAATGTCAAGAATGCTCAGGAACTTGGTGATTTTGAAATGGCGAATGCTGTTGAAGATGGTGGAAATGGAGTTCAGAAGAAAAAACGTGGACGCAAGGGTAGGAAAAAGGAGGTTTTGGGGGAAAGTTCGGAGATTTCTGTCGAGAAAGAAAAGGCGAAGGTTTTGAAGGAAAGTTCAGAAATTTCAGTTGAGGAAGATGGAGAAAAGGCAAAGCTTGTTTTAGAAGGTGATCAGGAGAATGAGTTGGTTAAGAGGGAGGAAGGTGAAAGGGGTCTTAGTGGTTTGGTTGAAGAGAGTCGGGATTTTCTTTTAAAAAATCGTCTGAGGAGCAGAAATACAAAGGTCGTGTATAGAGAGGATGTGCTTTTCGGATTTGATGACGGTAATGAGAACGATAAGAGGGTTTCGGGAAGGAAGCGAGGGAGAAAGTGTCGTACGAAGACGAAAGATACTGAGGATAAGAAGATAGCCATTGAAGAAGACCAAGAAAAAGACGTCGGATGTGTTTTGACTACAAAACGTGGCCGAAAGGGTAGAGGAAAGGCTAAAAGTAAGGGGAATTTGGACAATGACCAAAAGGGCGTGGAGTTATCTGACGATTATAAAGGTTATTCACTGAGGCGTGTAAATCTCCTAGTGCAAGAGAAGCCAAAATTAAATCAATCAGACCCAAAAGTAAGAAGCTTCCCCCCCCTCTTTTTTCTTTGCTATCATTATTGTTACTTTATTTACTTGGAGGCTCTTTTTTCTTTGCTATCATTATTGTTACTTTATTTACTTGGAGGTCTGTTTTCGATATCTGATTCAACAGTTTGCTGGAGGGGTTTCCTTAATGTGCCACCAATGTCAAAGGAATGACAAAGGCCGGGTTGTTAGGTGCAAAAGTTGTAAGAGAAAGCGGTTCTGTGTTCCTTGCATAGAAAAGTGGTATGGATATATTTTGAATGTGTTGATTTCTTCACTTTGTGCATATTATTGTATATGTATTGGTCTTGGCACCATATTGGATAGTTTGTTTATACTTTAGGAAACCTTTCTGGAGCTGGTTTTGAAATGAGTCTAGCGCCATGTGTCATATGCATAAATTTTTTAAATTGGTGAAAACTATTATGCATGCAAAAGGAAAGCCATCGAATATAGCAGAAGTACTATATAGTACTATTATTCAGTATCCTTGTTATTGTTCTTATTATTATCACTATAATAATTAAGATTTATATTACTATATGTTTCAGTTTTTGCACAACAGATGAAGATGCTGGATTTTTATTCTTGGCCTAGTTGAAATCCTCATGGAGGAGTGTCAATAGTTTCTACTTCATGTACGATACATATTAATATTAATAATGTAAAAAAAACTAAGTCGTGCAAGATTGTTCTTATCTCTCATCTTTTACTGTTTTGGTAAGTTGTTTTTAAGGATCATGTTATGTAGGTATCCAAATACACCTAAAAAGGACATTGCCGAGACTTGTCCTGTATGCCGTGGAAATTGCAATTGCAAAGCATGCTTGCGTTTAGATGCACCAATAACAGTCAGTTTCTCATTTTCTCTTGTCTCTTAAATGCTCACATAAATAAGCATATAAATGAGGTTTCATAAAATTTAATAATGTTGTTGCAGAAGATTGAGAACCTGGAATTAAATATAAGCAAAGACGAAGAAATTGAACACTCAAGGTATTTGCTTCAAGGGCTTCTTCCATTTTTGAAAAAATTAAATGAGGAACAAGAAATTGAAAGTGAGATGGAGGCCAAGAGACAAGGTACATTATTCAACCACACTCTGAGAGTGGCTTTATCCTCATTTAATAGTTACAATCAAATGTTTTTTTTTTTTCATTCCTCGTGGTGTTTCATTTTCACTACTAGACTTTTAGCAAGTATTCCTTGGGTCAGGTGTGTATTTCTCTTAAAAGCAAACAAACACGTAATCATTTTTCATTTTGGGGAGAAGTGTAATGGTTTCTTGGCTTTCTTGCTTGAGATCTATGAGAAAATAAATGAATTATTGTGTAGTTTCAATTTGATGGGACATTCATGTTGTCAGGGGTTTCTTTGTCGGAGCTAAAGATACAAAAGTCACATTGCTTTAAAGATGAGCGTATTTATTGGTAGGCCCTTTTCAAAATCACATACTATTATCGTATTTACTACTACTGTTGCTGCTACTGGTACTACTACTAATTATTATTATTATTATTATTGTTTGAGTATCTAACAAGTATCTTTTCAATGTTGCAGCAACAACTGCAAAACTGGTATTGTTGATTTTCACAGAAGTTGTCCTCTATGTTCATATGACCTTTGCCTCAGTTGTTGCCGGGAGATTCGAGACGGACACCTGCAGGGAGGTGGGGAGGATGTTATTATGCCATTCATTAACCAAGGCTTCCAGTATTTGCATGGTGGCGAGAGCAAAGAGAAAGCTCCTTCTAAGAATAAGCGCCGTAAGAAAGTTGACCAAGAAGAAGCTCGTTCCACCAGTAGTTGTAATGTCAGTGTTATTCCAATTTCAGAGTGGAAAGCAAATGAAGATGGAAGCATTCCTTGCCCCCCAAAGGACTTGCAGGGCTGCAGTGGTGTGCTTCTGGAATTGAGGAGCCTGTTTCCTGAAAATTTTGTCTCTGAGTTGGTAAAGAAAGCAGAAGAACTAGCAGATGTTTATAAACTCATCGATACATCTGAAACTTCTATACGTCAGTGTTCGTGTCTCAATGCTACGGATGCGAGTGAGTTGAGTAGCAACGCGCTAAGGAAAGCTGCTAATCGAGAAGATTCTGATGACAACTATTTGTACTGTCCAAAGGCTAGCAAAATCCAACATGAGGATTTGAAGCATTTTCAGTGGCATTGGATGAGAGGTGAACCAGTAATTGTTGATAATGTGCTTGAAACTACATCAGGTTTAAGTTGGGAACCATTTGTCATGTGGCGTGCTTGTCGTCAATTGCGTCATGTCAAGCATGATAGACATTTGGAAGTCAAGGCCATTGATTGCTTGGATTTGTGTGAGGTAGGCTTTTTTTATCCATTTACTTTTACTACGAAACAATATTTTACTGATGAGCTTAAAAAAAAAAAAAGAAAATTTTACTGATGAGTCTGGTTACGTTTCTAATTGCTTATTGATTGATTTTGGTATATTTCTAACTGCTTACTTAAGCTTGTAATGATACTTTAAACCTGTTTTGCTTCTTATGAGATAGTTAAAAAGTTATGGAGGATTCTTGTATGGGTCATGTCATTCATTTGATTCACCATTGATGAAAGTTTTATCTAGTTTAGACACTTGCAGGACACTGTTTGAATAAACATGCATTTTATGTAATTCCTGTGTTATTTGTTCTCATGATAGATCTTGTTTTCATTCATGAGTTACAACTCCTTCATGCTTGATAGAAATGGAGGAACAAGTTTGCATGAATCTAATTTGAACAATGCTAACCAAATATGATGCGTTCCTGGAGAGTAACCTCTATTCTTGTTTTAGATGAAAATAAATTGTTACCGCTCAAAGGGAAATGGTTTGATTGAAAGATGCAATATAAATCTTTCGTGCAGCATATGTGGTTGATTAGATATGTCCGTGAAATTGTGATTTATCTAAGATATTAGTATGCATGAGTGATGAATGTTTTGACCTTAAGCTACACTTTATCTTTTTCAATTTTTTTAATAGAATATCGTCCAGTTGGGCTTAAGAGTATCTTTTGCCTTGTTTTTTGCCCTTATGATGTATACAATCTTTTTTCAAGTTTGAACAATCTTTTGCACGTGGTTCGTGTATTATTATTGTTAAATGTGTCAAACTATGATTTATTCATGATAATTTCCTGAGAATACTTTCTTGTACATGACTTTTTATTATCTGATTGCAAAAGAAATTTGGTTGATTAATAATAAGTAAACGATTTTCAGCACCAGGTTTCCTTAGTATATACTAGAATTTTGATCATGAATTTGAAAGTTTTTAATGGATGAATTCAGTTTAATTTGATTTCTGATAAGTGCTGATAAGGGTTATCTAACGTTTTTTTCATATTATTTTGGAAAATGAGATACACATTAGGAATAGATTCCAAGTAATTATTCTATTAAACTTTGGATGCGTTCTTGTGAGTTGGTATGAAATTGTTTGGAGGTTTATAATCACCTCCCTTTTTCATCTACCAAATTAGATTTTCAAATAGAATTTGAAGTTACTCGGAATTGTATCTGTTTAATGTATCTCTTTTTTTATCACTTCATTTTGTTAAAGATCTTGCTTTGTAACATAGTCCAAGTATTTTAGAGCTGCTTTAATTTCTTGCTTTAGTTTCTTTAATTTTTTTTATTCTATGAAGTTTGTATTCTGTCTTTCCATTTCATTTCATCTCACCCTTTTGATAATCTAATTTCAATTGTTGAGTCGTGGAATGCAGGTTGACATTAATATCCATCAGTTCTTCACTGGATATTTGGAAGGGCGTTTTGATTTAAAACTGTGGCCTCAGATACTTAAACTGAAAGATTGGCCCCCGTCTAATTTATTTGGGGAGCGTTTGCCTCGTCATAATGCTGAATTCATCTCTTGCTTGCCATTTAAGGAATATACGAATCCTCTTAATGGAATTTTAAACCTCTTTGTCAAATTGCCCAAGGAATCTTTAAAGCCGGACATGGGGCCCAAGACATATATTGCTTATGGTGTTCAGTCAGCAGGAGCTTGGACGTGGAGATTCTGTAACCAAACTTCATTGTGACATGTCTGATGCAGTATGTTATGCTTTATTACAAGACATCTTTTCTCCTGGTGACAAAATGCATTCTATATTTAACTATTTTCTCAATATACTTGCATATTGAATGGTAGTTAACTCATTTAGAAGGGAAGTAGGAAGAAGAAACAAATAGATGTCATGTTGGCTTTATTGCTTTCATTTATTCCAGGGCCTCGGTCTGTGTGTGTGTGCGCTTCTCTCCTTTTTGTGTTTCGTTCGTTTATCTGATTTGTTATCAAATAGTTTTTTGTTCTAATCTTCTACCTGGTAATCGTTTTTTTTTTTTTTTTTTTTTTAATCAAAGTGAGCGATCAAAAGATATTCCTAAAGTGGTTTTCATGTTCTTGGTCAAGATTTTATATTGCGACACTAAGTTCAGTAGGGATTTGGATCACCAGACGTTAATTTGGTAGGCTATTGTACTTCCTTGGATTCTTATATAGTTTTAATGCTTCCAACAGTCTTTTTTAATTTGTCCATTTGGGAATTTTACTCCTCATTGTACCTAACTCAACAATTTTCCCTCTTGAAAAATAATAAAAAATTGATTATATAGACGCATGTGCTTTGATTTACTTGGAACTGGGATTATTTATTTTTTAGATTTTATTGATTCTGATGTCTTCTTTCTCCTTATATGTTATATGGTTGACGAATCAAGGATTTTATTCATACATGTCACAATATACCTTCTATGAGTTGATTACCTCTATTTAGACCAACTATGCGCACACTAATCGCAGTTATATATAATGTTTAAACTTTTGGTTCTAATTTTTGCATACCAAGGATTCACCATTTAGAGTTTTTAGTCCATATGTTAACAATAGATCAATTACTAAATGAATTTATGAAGTAATTGGTGGAATTCTATGTTATGAAAATTATGTGGAAGCATTGCACCATTTTTATGCCATGATAGTTACGTGAGTACGTTATCTCATTCATCAACCGTGCTTTTCGGCTTTGTGTCCTTAAAATGGAAACATTACTTATTCAGTATATCAATATCTCAGGTAAACGTTCTGACTCATACTGCTGAAGTGAAATTTACACCTGAACAGCTTGCTACCATAGAAGACCTGAAAAAGAAGCATAGTGAGCAAGACCAAAGAGAAATTTTCGGAGGTCGTGTGGCTAGTGATTGTGAGTGGAAGGATAAAGAGTTTTCACAGCTAAACTCCCGAAAGAGTCAGGAGGAAAAATTGGGTAAAGATGAAGGTTGTGGTAATATTGATCAGTCACTAAATTCTGGAAATACGTTGGAAGGCTTGGAAGAAGCTGAGGGTGGTGCTCTATGGGACATATTCCGGAGAGAGGATGTTCCCAAGCTGCAGGAGTATCTGAAAAAGCATTTCAGAGAATTTAGGCACATTTACTGCTGTCAAGTACAACAGGTAGTTGCAGAGTCAAACAGTTATTTTAACTCTATGCTTTTCCTTAAATGTGATGCATCAAAAGCTTTTTTTAGCTTGCTTTTCATGAATATAGTTTTACCAATTTTTATTTGTGGTTTTTTTTTATTTTTTTTTTATTTTTTGAGAATTATATTTGTGGTATTCAAATTATCTAGACATCCTTTTAATTTATTTGTGATACCTTATTAGTATTTCTGGAATCCTATCATGTTTCCTTACCATGCAAGCCTTTTTAAATATATTTGATTTGAATCACTACATAACTAGAAAGCCCAGTTGTTAAAACATGCTGAACATAGTCTTGATCCCTGTATGTGGAAGTGTAAGACCATCCAAAGTCTTGGGTGATGATTGATAGGAACTTGATAAATATAGATAGTTGGTTATGTTGTGTTTTAGTTGTTCCAGCTGGTTAGTAGTCTTTTAAGAAGTTAGAAGTCTGTTAGTGTGAATTAGTAGTGTAAATAGGGGGTTTAGTGGCTGATGAGAGAGTTGCAGCGTCTTAAATGCTGCTGTTTTTGTATTTGAATTGCCACATTTCTTGTTTCAGTCAATAAAATCATTCTCTAGTTTTGCCTGCAGAATTATTTGCCCTCATTTGCCACTGATTTGCTTAATTTTATATGTTCTTATGTAGGCATTCTTCTATTTCATCGTTTATTGCTTGGTTTTATTGAATAGGTTATTCACCCAGTTCATGACCAGACAATGTATTTGACTATGGACCACAAGAGGAAGCTTAAGGAGGAATATGGTTAGTTAATTATCGAACAATCCATACAGTTCATTTGCATTCTTATCTGTTGTCCATTTTACATACTTGAATACTATCTTATAGGGATTGAACCGTGGTCCTTTATCCAAAAACTTGGAGATGCTGTCTTCATACCTGCTGGCTGCCCTCATCAAGTTAGAAACTTGAAGGTAATTATCGATTAAAAGTTAATTTCCTCCCTGTTTATTTATTTTTTCTTGATGAATTCCTCCCTTTTTATCGTACCAAACTTGTCTCCTTAGTTGATTAGAATATGTGCTTCAACCAATCTTTAATTTTGACAATTTGAACTAGTCATCATTAAGGTTGTGAAGGTTTCTTTGTATGTTGCTTGATTGCAATATGTGAAAAACTTGTTACTTCTGTTGTGCAATAACATTTTAATAAACTGTGGCCATTTTCAGTTTATTAATTTAAGTACTATGCATGAATAAGTTGCATGCAGTAGGAGAGTAATGTATATACCTGTTTGCGGATCCAAGAAACCTGAAGGTTTACTACTTGTATTTGCAATAAAATTGTAGTGATTTCTACCTTAATTGCATTAGACACCTGAAGGTTTACTACGTGTATTTGCAATAAAATTCTAGTGATTTCTACCTTAATTGCATTAGACTCGCTTATGTCCAATCATTTTTTTTTTTTCAATTTAAATTGAAAATCTACTTGATAGGATCTTGACACGGTTCAGTTTTTTGCTTTAAGCTTTTATAGTCGTGTAAATTTTCAAAAGTTGTTGCATGCATGCAAATGACCTTTTTATCCTTTTTAATATTTAAACATAATGCTGATATGCTGCTTTCATCAGTCCTGCATAAAGGTCGCACTTGACTTTGTCTCACCCGAAAATGTTGATGAGTGTGTCCGGTTGACGGAAGAATTCCGAACGCTCCCCTCCAGTCACAGGGCTAAGGAGGACAAATTGGAGGTACATCATTTTTATAGATTGCATGTTCAGATATTTATATTAGCATATTGAGCGGGTCATGGTTCTTGTGGACTGTTCCGCTATGTCGGTGGCTAACACATTTACATTTCCAATCAGCCCATATTATAGCACATGGTATGTATCCTTTTCCAAAGAGACTAACTGCTGAGACTGTTAGATTGCATAATGGGAGACGATACTTTTGATAAGAACCTATTTGAAATTTACTTTAGAGATTTCAATATGCCATTCTTGGAACAGGTGAAGAAGATGGCCCTTTATGCAATGAAGGAAGTTGTGGAAACTTTGGATCCAAAAGAAAGGTTAGTGATTAAAAACTTTTGCTACCTGCATTTGAAGGTTGTTCTTAGGCTTGTCTTAAGCTCTCAAATGCTTGTAATTGAAAAAAAAAAATGCACTAGTTTTTTGAATCATATGCTTTCTCAACGAATTAATTGGTTTTCGAGGTGTGTGTCGACAAATTTGGATACAGGGAAGCTTTGTAGCTTGCTTTGCCTTCTATGTTGCCTTTTTCACAAGTATTTTTGCAGAAAAATCCATCTGAACCTAAAACTCGAGCTGTATTTGATGTTAAACAAAAAGTAGAAAGAAAACTTACCTTTAGCTTTATGATACAATTTTGTTGAATTTTGGACATTGTTAAAGTAGGATGATATGAGAAATGTGGTTATTTTTGCTTCATTCTATTTGAATATGGCAGGTAAAACAAGTCACTTTTTTCTCAGGTCTAAGAGAAAGCGAAATCAGGGAAAGGGAAATGAGGGAATGGGAAAGAAGGGAAAGGGAAAGAAGGGAAAGGGAAAGTTTAAGAAGACCGAGCCCTAACTATATTCAACCTGAGCAATTACCATACTTTTGACCGGGTACTCGTTTTTTTGGCGTGGTGTATATCCTTTCTTAAAAAACTATCGAGTACTCTTTTCTTGGCCTGGTGTATATCCTTTCTTAAAAAACTATCTTCTCTACTAACCTTGTGAAGCTGCTGCTCTCTGTTTTTGCCTAGTAGTCTGGAGAGTTTATACAATGAAAGGTTAACATGGTAGTTAAGAACTTCCTTTTGTAGAAACACTTTGAAGCAATATAATTATACGAAATGTTCTGAAAGAATCTATTCTGATCATATAGTTATCATTTCAATTCGTAGCATGTGAAGTTGTGATATTATATTTTTTATTTGTTAATTTTAATTCCAAGTTTTCAGTTCAGTATCTGTAACTTATTTTTTTGGGCACTGAAACTAGTGTTTCAATTAACACAAGTGTATTTTTGTCATTCCCCGCCAACTTCATAGGCAAGACTACATGAGTGCTTGTGAGTTGTGAGCTACATTTTAGATGTCGGAAGGTGACTAGCTCCCCCACTTTGCTCCTCCATGTGTTGTGGCTATAGAGGTGGGGGTTGTCGTCGCCTGATAGACGCAAAAGCCAGGGCCACTAAAACTATTTGCGTCCAGTGTGTCGATTAAAAGAGGAGGGAAGACAATTCAACAGTGGGAAATCGTAAAAAAGATCAGCTAAGTCCCCAATTCGTGGAAAGCATTCAGAGAACAAGGTAGAAAGTGTCAGGAAAGATTAGGCGTAACCTAATTCCAATACCAAGAACGAAAAGGAAAAATAGCACGAAGAAAAATAAACGCACAATCACACCAAGAAATTTTTATGCAGATTCACTAATTTAGCTACGTCATGTTTCTATCGCTGCAGATTTTACTATACTTTGAGGAAGATTGTTACAGAGAATCATTCAATCACTCTTAGTATTTCTCTCACACTCTCACAGTGTTTCCCAGCCTCACAACACTCCAATTTTACTCAGAAAAAATCATCACAATAAGAAACCCTAACAATAGGTATTCATACTGTCCAAAAAAAAAAACCCAAGAAAAAGCCCAAAATCCATGCAGCCCTCGAACCAGCGCCGCGGCGCCCATCCCTTGCCTGCACGGTGCTCTACCAGCGCCGCGCGCTGACCAGCCAAGACCGCGACGCTCAACTGCTTTTCTCCTCCGTTTTTTTTCTCTCGTTCTGTTGATTCGGCTCCACGCTCCAACAGAAAGAAAGACATAATGGCGTTATCAACATCTTTGAGGCTAGCTGGAAGCTGATCAAAGAGTGAGGAAAAAGTATTGGTTATTACAAATTGATTTGCAATAAAATTGTGAAGAACGCACTAGAACGGTACTTTCATTTTTTTTTTTTTAAACTGATCCGATTCATGTTGTTATATAAAATACTTAATCATAAAATTGTTCATAACTATATTAGACAAAGAATTATGACTAATCAATGTTGACGGTAAAAATTTGTCAACAGAATAATAATAATTTTTTTAACGGAAAAATACAGACTAAATGCTGCAAAACGTAATGAAAAGTGAGGAAAAGCAAAAATACGCAAAATTTATAATGATTCACCCTCGATTTTGAGAGTTATGCAGAGAAAATTCATTATTTTTTTTTGGGGAGAATTACAAGAGAATGCTCAAGATCAGACTTATGGGATTTTTGGCCTATTAATACTCTATTGTGCTAATCACCGCTCATATCTCTTTGCTTATTTAAATTTATGATACTTCTCTTATTTTTGGTGATAGTTTTTAGAAAGTGGAGATTACAATCAATCTGCGCAATTTTCTTATTTGAAGTTCATATATTTAAATTATAAACAACAAATCTTGGATAAATCATGCGGATTCTTATCTTTGCGTAACCTCGACTTCGTAAAAGTTTCATGAGGCCTCTTCGCCAAAGTATTTATGAAAATTTTATGAATATCAATGAAAATTGCATGATTATTTATGTGACATTAAACACTGTATATAAGTGTTATATGCGAGAGGATAATGTTTAAGGATAATAATTAAAATGATGTTGGTAATGAATTCAATTAAAATTAAGAATCTTTAATTAAAATATTATTAATACACGTCATTCCCATTTAGAATGGAACAGTGTTATCCGCACTGTTAATATGATGAGATATTGAATGAGTGTGTTACGCATAATGAGATTATGTGAAACAAGGACATATACACAATATGAATTTATGATAATTTCCGTTAAGAATAGAAATTCTAATTGAATCTGTAACGACCCCTCACGAGCCATTACAGTTATCGTAACTTTCAAATAGCGGAAAATCGTTAAACTTGAAATACTTTACTTTGAACGACTTAAAGGAAAGCCTAAATTTTTTTTTAAACATACTATCTTTAAATTTTTGAACTTCCTCAAAAAAAAATAAATAAAACAACCTTCGGTTTAACTTAGTTATTAAAATCTATAAAGTCTAAAATATTCTTCAATCAAAACCACCATAAACTGAAGTTTCAAAACAATAAAAGTAAAAATCAAAAACTTTGTTTAACCTTAAACACTTTCATCCCATGATTGTTTCTCCCGTTTTCCTATCACGCATAGCTCGCATCCACTTCAATATTATTCAACCTTATGACATATTTCTAATACACAGAAACATAGAAGTATGCATGTAATCACTCCTAGACACGTCCAAAATTTTTGACTTCTTAAACTAGGGTGCAATAAGGCCAATGAAATAAGATATCCTAGCATTTGACACAATATATATACAAGTCTATATATGATTCCTCTAAATAAAATCGACAACTTGAAAATGATGGATTAAATAAATAAGAATACAGAGGTTTGAAAATTTTTTTTAAAAAAGAAAACAAACACAGCCACCCATCCACCCATATACGTAATACCATAAGCAACATAGCAATGGTATAGTCTCACTCAAACATCATCTCATGTCTCTCCTCATTCTCAAGCAAAAGCCATTATTGATAATCAAATCCGTACCCCTTAAAGAATTCAAAATCAAAAGAATAAATAATAAGAGGAATCATACCTTAACGATTTCTTTTATCTTGATTGCTAGGAGAATTCAAAAGAAAAATTAAGAGATGAGCTTGATGGCTGATTATGGAGGTTCTCTTGTGATTTTTTTTTTTTTCGTGAAAGAGAGGGTGAGAGACAGAGAGACGTGAAAGAGGTATAGAAAGGATTAGGAAACTGAAAAAAAACGATAGAGTTAGCTACTTAAAAGAATAAGATTTGTATTGGTCAACATGTATATAAACAGAAATTACTCACAATTTGATTCCAAATGAATTTTGGAATTAACTTGAATGTTAATTGACTCAAAAGACGTAATGAAATTTCTCACCGTTAGCTATTCGGCATATAATCAATTATCAGCAATAAAGTGCAATAATATAACAATGGTTGACTATTGATGCTTATTTGTGTGTATATATATATATATATAATTGACCGTGTATGTTTTTATTTTTATTTTTATTTTAAATATAACATATAACGAATTTGTATTTAAAACTTGACATATATATCTAATATGTATTTTGTAATACTATATATATGTATAATCTATTAATGGTATTAAATCAATACACGTTTCTATTAAATCATCACATAAAATTTAACAGTTTGGCATGAACTTATTTTTACACCACGAGTCTGTTGGGAATAGTGTCCTAGAAGTATGAGATGTAATAGGATATTTATTATTTAATTAATAAAAGAGTTTATTCATCATTTTATGTGCATATATTTATGAATATTTTATGAATATCAAATGAAAATTCCGTGATTGTTTATGTAACCTTAAACATAGTATATAAGTGTTATATACGAGAGGATAGTGTTTAAGGATAATAATAAAAAACGTTGTTCATGATGAATTTAATTAAAGTTTGGAATCGTTAATTAAAACATTATTAATACATGTCATTCCCATTTAGAATGCAATGGTGTTATCCACACTGTTAATATGGCGAGATATTGAATGAGTGTATTTCGCATAATGAGATTATGTGGAACAAGGACACA